TAAGGAGGAGCCAAGGAGTAGCAGTAGAAAGGCTGCAGAAAGAGTCAGGAGCCCAGAGGAGGGGGCAAAGGGGGCGAGGGGTGGGGGCAGAAATTGGAAATGAAAGCAGACAACAGAACATTGGTAGAGAGCAGGAAAGGAGGTGAAAGGAGACAATTTTAGACAAGAAAATTTTTTGGTCGCTACCCGGATTCGAACCCAGGACCTTTGAATGAGAGGCCAACACCTTAACCTCTAGGCCACGAGAGCCCCCTGAGATATATTGCATTGGGATGTTAACAAAATGTGAAAAAGTAAGAACTGAGAGAAACCAGTGGCATTGTTGTAAACTGTTCTGTATTGGTGTAATTTTGTGTATTTATGCATGGATTTATGTAAGTATACATATTTATAATTATGTATTTATGTGTGTATGTTTGCCATTGTAAAACAAAGTGCCCTTCTGGGACAAATAAAAGTGTAATTTATTTATTTATTTTTAATTTAAAGTTACACCTTTTAAAATTTATTTTTAGGAAAATAAATTGAGGAAAAAAATATTTATAGGTAGTTTTTGCAAGAAACAGCTCTTGCATTATATTACAAAATGGTTGGGGAGTACTTTGGTGTGTATGACTCAATATCGACCGACCTTGACCTCTCTGCAGCTATCCTTGCCGATGTCTGGGTTCGAGGTTTAAATAACAAGTTTCTGATTTTCCTCAGTCCGCCCGGCCTAGAATAATATCCTGTGTGGATTTAAGTGGCTGTTTGTACAGGCGGCTCTCAGGGCAGACTAGACAGTGTGTATACAAAACAGACTGACCAATGTACTTATGTCACCACTTTGTGTTTGTGGAGTCGGGCGCTCGTCAATTTTTTTACATGTGGAGTTGTCGGTATCGTCTTAAAGTTTGTTCATTTGTCTTGCTTTCCAAGAAAAAAATTATTCATCTCTCTTGAATAGAAGTTTTGAGATATTTGCTATTGAAGGAAGTTGGGGTCACATGGTTTCAGAGGTAGAATTAACTCGAAAAAGGCCGCCAAAGTTTGGTGACTTCCAAAACTTGGGGAGTCCTTGGAAATTGCAAATTTACAATTTTGCACCTTTAGCAGTGTTTTTCAGGAAAATCCCCGCTTAAATGTGTTTGTAAATAAATATATAGGGTGTTGAGCCAAAAAAAGGAAATTCTAAGAAAATTGCAAAAACCGCCTTAGAAAAATAGAAGTGCCGATTTCTTTGATTGTGTTATAAAATTTTGACGAGCGCCTGATTTCTCCCCGACGCCTCACTTTTCTCTGTACTGTGGGTGGTTGGTGGTTGCTCTAGAGTGGTGTGCTTCTTCCTTTCAATCAATCTATCGTCTTTATCTCCCCTCCTTTTTTGTGTTTGTTACTCTCTTGTAATACCTAACCTTCAGCACTTGACCGTATTGTGTTTCAAGTGCCGTAAAACTTTTACTAAAACTTTTTTTAAAAACCCATTTATATATATATGGTGCTGAGCAAAAAATAAAAATAAGAATTTGAAGAAAATTGCAGAAACTGCCTTAGAAGTGCCGATTTCTTTGATTTCGTTGTAAAATTTTGACGAGCACCTGATTTCACTCTGACGCCTCACATTTGTCTGTTTAGCCGTTGTTTCTGTACCTGCCGTTCCAAGCTGTGCACAGTGCAGACGGAGACGGGCCACACCTCCAGGCGCCGGTGAAGTACATCCAGAGGTTTGGGTATATCGAGAACCGCGACCGCAGGATCTACGCTGGTGAGGGAGCCACTCTATTGTTGCCGTCTGTCTCAGTGTCTGTCTGTTTTTCTGTCTGTCTGATTTTCTGTCTCAGTGTCTGTCTGTGTTGCTGTCTGTGTGTCTAGCTGTCTGTGCGTGTAGTTGTCTGTCTGTGTGGTTTTCTGTCTGTGTAGTTGTCTGTCTGTGTAGTTGTCTGTCTGTGTGTGTAGTTGTTTGTCTGTGTAGTTGTCTGTCTGTGTAGCTGTCTGTCTGTGTAGCTGTCTGTGTAGCTGTCTGTCTGTGTAGCTGTCTGTCTGTGTAGCTGTCTGTCTGTGTAGCTGTCTGTGTAGTTGTCTATCTGTGTAGCTGTCTGTCTGTGTAGCTGTCTGTCTGTGTAGCTTTCTGTGTAGCCGTTTGTCTCAGTGTCTGTCTGTGTTGCTGTCTGTCTGTGTAGCTGTCTGTGTGTGTAGCTGTCTGTGTGTGTAGTTGTTTGTCTGTGTTGTTGTCTGTCTGTATAGTTGTTTATCTGTTTAGCTGTCTGTCTGTGTGTGTACCTGTCTGTCTGTGTAGCTGTCTGTCTGTTTTTCTGTCTGTGTAGCTGTCTGTCTGTGTAGCTGTCTGTCTGTTTTTCTGTCTGTGTAGCTGTCTGTCTGTGTAGTTGTCTGTCTGTGTAGCTGTCTGTCTGTGTAGCTGTCTGTCTGTGTAGCTGTCTGTCTGTCTGTGTAGCTGTCTGTCTGTGTAGTTGTCTTTCTGTTTTTCTGTTTGTGTAGCTGTCTGTCTGTGTAGCTGTCTGTCTGTTTAGTTGTCTGTCTGTGTAGCTGTCTGTCTGTGTAGTTGTCTGTTTGTTTTTCTGTCTGTGTAGTTGTCTGTCTGTTTTTCTGTCTGTGTAGCTGTCTGTGTAGTTGTCTGTCTGTGTAGTTATCTGTCTGTGTTGCTGTCTGTCTGTGTTTCTGTCTGTCTGTTTTTCTGTCTGTGTAGTTGTCTGTCTTTTTTTCTGTCTGTGTAGTTGTCTCTGTTTTTCTGTCTGTGTAGTTGTCTGTCTGTGTAGTTGTCTGTCTGTGTAGCTGTCTGTCTGTGTAGCTGTCTGTCTGTGTAGCTGTCTGTATAGCTGTCTGTCTGTTTTTCTGTCTGAGTAGTATATCGAGAACCACGACGGCAGGATCTACGCTGGTGAGGGATCTACTCTAGTTGAGGAGCTGGCGTGGCATGATGTGTAGGAATGTCTGTCTCTGTTTCTGCCTGTCTCTGTCTGTCTCCGCTTCTGATCGTCATTTCTGCCTATCCTCATTTTCCACCTCCCCCCGCCCCTCACCTCTCCTTTCCATCTCCCCTCCCCTCACCCCTCTCTCCCCCACTTTCGCTCCCCCCATCCTTTTTATCTCCACCGTCCCCTCCCCCTCCTCCCCCCGCCCCTCACCTCTCCTTTCCATCTCCTCCCCGCTCCACTTTTTCTCCCCCCCCCAACCCTCGACACAGCCATGGTGTCTGCCCTTGACGATGCTGTGGGCGCCGTCTACGATGCTCTCAAGACCTCCGGAATGCTCCAGAACTCTGTCATTGTGTTCACCACAGACAATGGCGGGCCCGCTAACGGCTTTGACTACAACGCTGCCAACAACTTCCCACTCAGGTAATCTGCACCAACTGCCCTTCCTCGACCTCACTCTCTCCCCCCCATCCCTCATCCTATTCACCCC